TGGTACGTCTTGGATGCGCTGGCCACCAGCTTTCCAACTTGGAAGGTTCTTGGTTTATAGTATACCTAAAAAATCATCGCCGAAGTCGCAACCACTATTTCGTTCGGGTGGAGAGCCAAGGATTAATTTACAGTCGCATGAGCTGATTGTAAAGTAACTGGTGGTGTTAGTGAATATTATAGCGTAACTTGCACCTCTTTGGTCCTCTTTCTACATACTAATATTAGTTGTTGTTTTTTTGTTGTGGGTGCGGTGGCCTTTCTTGGTGTACAGATGACTGGCCGCTATGACATGTATGCGAGAGAGCTCACTGCGTTCACCAGTGGCGATTATCAGCGGCCAATTGTGCAAGCTCCCAAGCAATGATCAACTAGCTAAGCTGGTGTAGTCCTCTCTGAGTTCGTACCGGATCACAATATCCTGTGATCTCTGCTGCCAATTTTAGCATGTTTCATTTACCCCAAATTCCCAGGAGCAGCGTCCTCGAGCAAGAATATTATCAGAGTTTTGTCAAAGTCTTCATACTGATTCCTAGCCGGATGACCTGTACCCGTTACACCATGCAACAGGAACACACACACAGCCACACATGGGCATCATCCCCACCATGCAACAGACACACACACGCAGGTACACATGGGCGTCATCTACATTTTTAGATGCAATGATTCCCAGTAGGTAGGTAGAGCTTGTTTTAGTGCACATTCCTTAGACGTGTGTGGTGTTTTAGGTTTTTAGGCGAGTGACACGCGTGCCTGTTTTTACCTGGTACAGTAGTTACTAATTTAGGGATACCCAGCTGCCACTGTATCAGTCTTGTGTCTGCTGTGCAGTACTTTCTTTTGGAGTTTTCTTCTGATAACTAATAAGATAATTTTATGCTGTTAACTCTTCAGGATCCTTGTGTGCGTGTGTGTGGTGTTTGTGTGTGTGTGTGTGTGTATGTGTGTGTGTGTGTGTGTGTGTGTGTGTGTGTGTGTGTGTGTGTGTGTGTGTGTGTGTGTGTGTGTGTGCGCGTGTGTGTGTGTGTGCGTGCATGCATGCATGTGTGCGTGCCCAGTTCGTACCCATTCTCTGCCTGCTGCTTTGGACTGGTTCTGTCAAAATGCTATGTGCATGATGTTGCATGAAACATGTATCTTGAATTCTTGATTGTGCCGGACTTTACATGATTAGGACCGGATTTGTGCATCACGTTGTACTGGTATGCTGTTGCAAATCCGAAACCCACTACGAAATTGAACATCTTGCTTTTTGTTTTCAGGCCAAACTAGACTTTCAAGGCCCAATTTGGCGTATCTTTTTCCGGATATACTGTTCAAAGCCTGTGCTTATGCTAGAATGCTGTAGTCGGCTTGTGACGTTTGCAGTACTAGGAAGTAGAGAGTGGAGATGCTGCTCTCTACAATTGCAATACCAAGAGTGCAAAGCCTTGGGGGTTACTGGAGTTACCAACTATGTAAGACTCAGTGGGACTCGGCGACCATGGCCCCCGGGTGGGCTAACTCCCTGACTGGGACTCGGCACTTGCTTCTTGCATGCTTGCCTCCCTGCGTGCAGAGCGGTGGAATATGCTCTGAACAGGGAGTACAAACCCAAACAGCTATAATTATAATAAACCTTTGGGGGTGATTTTTTCTTCATAAACCCCCTCCTTTTTGTGGATGAGTGTGCTCTGTATCATCCCATGTTACTCCACAAAAAAATTCAGGGGGTGTTTCCGCGGAGATAGTTGTATTGAGGTGTATTTCTAGGGGTGGGTGTATTTATAGATTTCGGCCTAAATTTGCTTGTTTTGGGGTCATATTTCAGATTTACCAGTTGGCTGGCTTCTTTCAGAGCAGGTACTTTTCTGATTTTCGTGGGGAATTCCCCAAGATCATGTGATTATTTTAGCCACCGCACTGCCGTGCGCATGCGCACACGTTGAATGTGGCTTGCGGATATGGATCGGCCCAGCTGGTACACAGTGATGTCAAATGCCAGGGAAGTGAGGTCGAGTAGTTGCGGTTTATGTAGGACTGTGGCGGATCCGTGACAATGTTGGCGAGGTTGGCTTCTCGTGCCACCAACGTGGTGACCAAGTCTCCCGTTGCACTTAGTGTTCGCAATGACAGCCATTACCACCCTAGTGTGAATGGTGCCTTGACCCAGGATGAGGTTCTCTCACGCATGCAGAAGGACATCGAGACCAGAGACCACGAACGGTTTCGTTGGCAGAGAATGAACATGCCGTTCACGCAGACCTATGTCGTTGCCGACAATGGATTTGAGTACTGCCGAGGTGGCATTCCCGGATGGCTTTGGATGCTTATAGGAACTGTGACTCTCTCTGCTACATCCTACAAGGTACGAACATGAAATTTCGTATTCAACCCTTTTTCGAAAAAGTCGTGAACGACTACGTCTGTACTGTTGTGCATGGCCCCATCGGGCGACTTTCGCAGTCATATTCTACCGTGCTGCAGCTTTGCAACTACTGCTGTGTGAATAGACTGAAATGAAATGAAACAGTAACTGGTACAGGTCTACTCTCCATATAACGTAATCTCTGGGACCACGCAAACATTATGTTATATCAAGAGTTATGTTATGTAGAAAACCGTGTGTAAAATACAAGGTGCACCTCAAAATGAAGGGTATTACAAGGCGGGTTCAACCGTGCAAACATATACACACTGTTTGTCTGTACCACCATCGACATCAGATACCATCAATGCTGCAGAATATATGCACATAGGACTAAACTGGCTAGCTACGGCTACAGCTTGATTGTACCGCGCACGTGAATCTACGTTGTATCGAGAGTGTACACGTCGGGGACTGCGCCGTAGGGTGCGTTATGCCGAGGTTTACGTTATGTAGGACTAAACTGGCCTAAAATGCCTAGCTACAGCTACCGCTTGATCATACCGTGCACGTGAATTTATGTTGTATCGAGAGTGCGCACGTCGGGGACCGCCGTAGCGTGTGTTATGTCGAGGTTTATGTTATGTAGGATTATGTTGTGTAGAACAAATTTTGTATGGGAGTGATGCTGTTTCGGCGCGGGATTTGATTTTTTTATGTACTAACAAGGTTTATGTACAAGTGAGAGTTGTTATATCGAGAGCAGACCTGTAGTACGCTCCCATAGTTTGTTTCAGCAATGCGTGGGTATTCCATCTGGGACTGTCCCCTCCTGAGTGCATTTTTCGTATATTAGGTGAGCTAATCGAGTCACTCGAGTACTAGAAATCTTGGCACTTTTCCTCGCAGCGCTATCGCTGCTGCGGCACTGAACATGCACTCACACGGATAAACAAGCACACACACATACACACGCACACACACACACACACCCTACATGAAGAAGTTAGGCCTCGGATAACCATCATCGTGTCCAATGATGACATCAATTACGCCGTGTCCATGTACAGTCAACTTCGCCTATAACGACACTTGCGGGGCATCAGAAAAGTGTCCTTATTCGCGAAGTGTCATTATACCCGAAGTCTCATACGTAGTACAGTTAGATGGGACTTTGCTCTGGGCATGGGAATTCTGTCGTTATATCCGCTGTCGTTATTAGCGAAGTTCAGGGCTCACGGTTGTGTACAAATACGTGGGCGCCATTTTGTTTCTGGCCAGCTCACGCGACGACAGGTCGACTGTCACGCGACCACAGCTCGACCACCCCTTGTACACAAACTCTAGCCATCTCGCAGCGCATTTTCAGTGCGACACATGCCTCTTCAAAATAGAATAAGGTAGCACGGGTAGACAGTACGACACTGAAAATTTGGGTGGAACCAGGCAAGATGTGAACTAGGGGTTCAACCGAAGGAATTTTTGATTTTGGCCCTGGGAAACTAAAGATATGGTCACAAAGTCCGTGAATGCTCTACAGCGATCCCTTCATCTAGTACTAAACTGTAGCTTAGTATCTACTGAAGATTTTGAGCCATCGATTGTCAAAATCGGCCAATATTGTGCTACCTTATACTGTTTTGAAGTGAGCTAAGTCGGCAGGGGCGCACGCGAACTCCCGTGCGCGACGACAAGGAAGGAAGCCTGTGCATATGCGTTGTACGATGCGGAAACTACACAAGCGAGGCAGCAGCAAGGCGTTTTTTTGCAATGTTTCCTCCGTGACTGACAAACTCTTGAAATATTATTCACCGTTTGCTGTCTTGCTCATCGGCGCTCTACTGCTGTGTGCTTCAGCAGCTATGGCGAACCGAAAATACATGACCAGTACAACGGCGAAGCCATTTGATTCGTCCTCTTGCAACGAAACAGAGTGGCAAATCAAATAATTCACAACTCTCCATCGTCACTTCTCACAGCAGCGTGGCACGGCTCTTTCACTCGTGTAAGTGCATTTACAAAACGCTCTGAGAACAGAGATAACGAACTAGAACACGGTGTGAGTCTTTGCTTCATTCCATCAAGGAGCTCTTGTCCTCTACCTCTCCTCACCTGCGCCAGTGCATCAGCGGACGACATAGATGTCGATCCCTTTCTCAGCAAAGACTCGGCGGCAGAACTCGCGACTTCTCATCGCAGGACTCAGCGTGCGAACGAACTGTCTGAAGCCTTCGGCTTACGAGGCCAGCACTGCTCGCAACACACTCGCTCGGAAAGAAGCAATAACAACAACAGTGAACGGCAACTAAAGTGAAACGCAAGTCCCCAGCCGGTCTCCGTCTTCCTCAGTTCTACTTCTTCTTGTCAGTCACCAGGCCACTGCAATCAGCTCTCTCGATCGAGTCCTTGCTGTGCTCCGCGCCGCGTAGGCGTGCACTGCCGCGTGCATAGCTCGAGTCACGCGAGCTCATTTCTATGGTGATCAGATTTCAAGATGTCCTCCCACGTGGGCCACGTAATCGAGTTTTGGCATCCCAACCGTGAGCCCTGAAGTTGACTGTACACAGTGAAAGGGAGCCATATGGCATCTGAGGAGATAGCACTGTGGTCGTGTGGAGAGGAATGTGAAGCGATGTGGGTTTTCTTCCCGTCTGTCAATTCAAGTCACCCTCGGGTAGCCGTGGTCAGCAGGTCGAGGCTGCAATGTCAATTGGCATAGACAGTGAGTCACATAGAATGCCCAAGTCCATGTAATTCAAAGAGGTATTATATCCCCCATGTCGTCTCCCTTCGCGGCGCAACTCCTCTAGAATGTAGTTGTGCTGGAATGTACCTGATTAAACAGCTTGTACGATGAGATCTTGACCACCTGTCACACATATGCGAAGATTGAAGCACGATTAATCACCCATGAAAGAAGAATATGGCATGACTCTACACGCAGATTCTAGGTGGGTCATGCTCATGACAGTTCCTGCTTCAAGGGAACGTGCGAGCTGAAATCAGATCTGCAGATACATGTACATGTACCTGTCCCCATAGAATATCACGGAAGACTTTCTCAGAAAACTGAGGGGTGGGATGAAGAAAATTGTGTCAAACAGCGGTGAATGCTTACAACTTGTGGCACTAAGCATACAGAGAAGCAGGCCCGGTGGGCGAAGTCGGTCTCGTGCGGGGGGGGGGGGGGTGTTCCCCTGGGAACAAATTGAAAAATCCGGTCAGGAAAAGCAGAATTTGGCCCTTTCACAAGTTTTCACATCCCACTACAGGGAATCATTTTGCATGGACATCAATGCAATCATTGCATCATGTGTATGTGAAAGAATGCTGTCAGCGTCACAGACAACTCCCAAGAACAGAAGTAAAACTGACACGAAGATAGGAATTAAAGTCACAAACAGCTCTCACCACGCTTTCTCTAAAACAAAAACCGGCTATGATCGTCCTGGCAGAACATGAACTTCGAAATGCACACGGAGAGCAAGTGCACGTAATTTCGAGCATCAGCCATGATAGTCCTAGTACTGTACATGTAATAGAATCTACGCACGAGGTTCTACATGTACCATCACGGCTGGTGCTTGACCTTTGGACAGTTTCTGAACCGAGTGGTGCACGCAGCTGCTCAGATACTGACGATCTGTCCACATTGTGCTGCATGCACTCTGCACTGCTGTTTGCATGCATGTATGCATGATACCCAGAATCTTTTCTCCGCGTATTTAGAGGTATCCCAGGGGGTGGCCTCAGTCCGGGTTAGTCCGGTGACAACTGTGCCAACTGGACTGGGTCCGACGGCCCTGAAAAATATGTTGATTTTCATATTTACAACACTCAATCTATCTGGATGGTGGATGCAACAAGCATGACATCAATGCCTTCCAGCGAGTCATTGACCATTGTTTTCTGCCGTTTTGTTGCTTCTTTCATTCAGTTCATCAAAGACCGTTTCCATGACCCATACATCTTCCAGCAAAACCCCGGCCCTGACTTGGAGGAGTATCACCGTATCAAGGACCGATTGGCTTCCGAGCCCGACTTCTGGAACTGGGACGAGCGCGATGCTGCCAAGACGGAATAACATGTTTGCCTCTTCTTTAAAAAAGCTGTTTTTTTTATTCAATTATGCTTGCTCCTGCCATGTGACCAAGCTACTTAGCCTAGACAAAGGGAAATCATAGAGTTGCCACCTCCAATAAAAACGGCTCTGTGTGTCAGTGTATTTGTGACTGACCTTGTGTGGGTGCTGGCATGGTCCTCCGGGTTTAAGGTGCGTAGAACAGGTCGGATTATTTGCACTCAGTGGCTGTACGGTTTGTCTTGTTTCCTCTTCTCGCGCACTGACTTCCACTTCTCATTGTAGTGCAGCATTCTAGCAAAATGGGTAATCGTCTACTAATTGCCCTAGCAAAATGCATAGTTGGCACATATGCCTGCAGCGGGGGAGTCAGTTGTTATCCTCAGCCAATATTGTCTAAGCAACGATCATGTGTCATGTAACAATAGCATTTGATGGCAATCCTAGACGCAAATGAAGAATAAAAGGCGGGTATGTTAAAACTTGTGGCAGGGTCATTGGAAATTATTGTTAACTCCGGGGTCGAGTAGTAGTTGCCTTGGCGTTGACATGCAAGTCGAAGACTGAAACCAGCGGAGTTGCCAGCTAGGGAGCTTCAGCCCCCTGGCACAGGCTGAGGACCTCCCTGTCCCTGCTATCAAAACAACTTGTACCTTGCTTGTACGACATACCTGTAAACTCCAGGGTTATCATGTACTTATACCGGTAATTGTAACTTTGTTACGTAGTCTGCATACGGCAACAATCTACAGTACGACTCTTAGACGTCTACTCTTTCTGCTACTGAATACTACAGGCCAGACCGCAGTGTGCGTCCAGCAGGGAGCCCTACACATACGGTATGTTATATACAGAAGCCTTGCTTGGTAGTTTAACATGTTTTTCGATTTTGACAGCATGTTACAAGGCGAGGACGCGTAGTGCTCCTGACTACAACCATAACCCGGTTGGCAGAGTCCCGGTCTTGTGTACGGTTCAAATGGTCGCAAGACCGGGACTCTGCCAACCGGGTTATGGTTGTAGTCAGGAGCACTACGCGTCCTCGCCTTGTAACATGCTGTCAAAATCGAAAAACATACGGTATGTGTAGGGCTCCCTGGTGTCCACTGCATGTGTTGAAAACACTACTTTGAAGCAGGGAGTCGTAAAATACCGATATTTTACGACTCCCTGCTTTGAAGTACGCTCTGTTTCGCTGTGCATTATTATTATTATTTATTCATATTTTGATAGGGCAATCCCCACAGACTCAAGGTCTTCTTACGGGGTACCCTAAGAATGAAAGTAATGCATGGCGAAATAGGGATGGCGATGCAGCAGTGCGGATATCGGATGGAGCACTATTCCATCTGTCTGCAGCCAAATAAGAGAGAGAAAACAGACCGTAACGTGAATAAACTCGGGGTAAAACAAGACCATTGGAGGCGTGAAGGCGGGTCCGACATTGCAAAGTGTTCGCTGCTGAAGAGCGAAGTACAAAGAGGTCTCGAAGAAGGACACTGGTCTGGCCTAGGACGCAACGGAAAACAACTGAGTACAATTTTAAACTGAAGCGGACTGAAATTGGCATTAAAGAGAAGCGTGCGAGAATTGGGGCTGAATGGGAGGACGAGGGGTAACCAAACACTATCCGTAATGCACGTTTACTGATCTTGATCAGGTTATCATATTCTGTGGTGCGAAGACAGTGTACATATGCATTACTCGCATACTCAAGAGTGGATTGTATGAAGGATAAGTAGAATGTACGTTTAGCTCGGGTGGTCAGGAGGCGACGTGTTCTGTACATGGTACTTAGCTTGGCGCCAACTTTCCTCCGGAGGGCTGCAACTTGTGGTTTAAAGGATAGATGTTCATCAATGACCAAGCCAAGGTGTTTTACGCTCAAAGCTGAGGAAATACTAATACCGTCGAGCATTAGGGGCGGCTAGCCGGAGTGGTCGGAGTACGGATATGCATGTACTGAGTCTTTGCGGTATTGAGTTTGAGACCACGCTCAGAGAGATAATAGGCAACGTGAGCAATGTCTCTTTCCAAGGTAACTACGGCTTGCTCTGCACATGAATTGGCAGCGTATAGTGCAGTGTCATCTGCATACAGCAACGTGGTCGACTGCTTAACATGGCAGGGAAGGGAGCGGGTGTAAGTCGTGAATAATAGTGGTCCCAGGACGGACCCTTGTGGGACGCCACGGGTGCAGTGGTATGGCTCACCTGGGGAAGACTGGGGAGTTACGACTCTCTGGGTTTTGTCTGCCAGGTAGCTCTGAAACCAGGAGAGAACTGTGTCTCCAAGGCCACAATCAAATAGTTCAGAGACTAGAAGTGTGTGATCTACACAGTCAAACGCTTTACTTAGATCAAGGAATGCAGCTGCTACGCACTGGCCTTTATCTAGACACCTGTGCCAACGGTCGACACAGAGGGTGAGAGCATCCTCGCAGGAGTGGGAACGCCGGTATGCAAATTGTTGAGGCGGTAAAAGGTCAGGCTCAGATTGAATATATGTCTGCAGCTGTTCGTAGACAACGCGCTCCAATATCTTCGATGCCACAGGCAATAGGGATATCGGACGGTAATTAGCTGCCTGGGTGCGATCTCCTTTCTTGAACACTGGACAGATGTCTGCTGCTTTGAAGCCCGTGGGGAATTGTCCTTTTTGAAGAGACTCGTTGACGATAGTAGTGAGGGAACTAGCAATGTACTCATGGTTACTCTTCAGGAGGACTGGTGGTAGCCCATCGGAGCCGGTAGCCTTCCACGTTTTCAAACGTCTGAGCATACTGGAGATGGTGTTTACAGAGACTGGCTTGAAGGATATGAAGGCTCACTGGATTGGTGGCCCAGCGGGTCGTCTGGCAGCTGAAGTAGAGGAGTCTGGGCTGGTGACCTGCGCTTCAAATACCGTGGTCAGGGCAGACGGGTCGACGGGAAGAGTAGCTGGGAGCTTATGCCTTATGGCGACCTAGGAGGCGGTTCAGTACTTTCCACTGAGCATGTGCGTTTGCGGCATTCGATGAGAACTGGCGGATGTAATAAGCTTCTCTCAGCCTACGGTTGAGAAGAGTTCCAGCGCGTCTGGCAGCACGGAAATCTGCCTCTTCTTCTGCCTCCCTACTTGTAGTGGCTGCCGAAGCTGGCACTCCCCGTCATTAATTAATTGCAGTCTTTAGTTCTTTAACATTATTATTTGCCATGGCGACCCCGTAAGCCCAATTAGCTGGCAGGGTTGGGCCTTTTTCTTTTGCTTCACATGTGTAGCATTTCACGGTTTCTGCTCAGTTTGACATGTACGTGTACTACATATCCATATCGTGAAGCTCACATGGCGCAAAAAAAAGATTCGTACATCTTCTGGCTAAAAAAACCAATTAATTATTTGAAGTACTTGTACACAATGATCAATCAACGACTGCGGATATAACGACAATTCGCGAATAACGACAGAATTTCCATGCCTGCAACTTGTAGAGCAAAGTCCCATCTAACTGTAATACATAATGAGACTTCGGGTACATGCATACCGGTATTAAGGACACTTCACGAATAAGGACGCTTTTCTGATGCCCCGCCGAGTGTCGTTATACGCAAAGTTGACTACCGGTACGTAGTAAGCAGAAATTTCAAGAAGAGAGAGAGAGAGAGTGTGATTTGGCCCGGAAAGACACTCGGCTGTTTTGTGTTATACAATGTACATGCATGTACTGACGTCTCTGGCGCGTGGGACCAAACGAACACCGCAGAACATGTTAACAGTGTGTTGAGCGAAACTTACGATAGCCTATAGCGGATGTGTATGCGGAATATGTTACAGCGAGAAAACTTTGTACGAAGTAATGCATTAAGGAGGCTCCGAACAGTTGCGCAGCGCAGTGTAAAAAGGGCACCTCCGAAATCTGTTTTTTGCCGCGAGATTCGAAAAATGTTGTGTTCCATGCGGAAACAAGCTGTTGTTCAGAAAGAAGTTTTTTGATTTCTCTGTGCTCGCAGTTGTTCCAGGATGTAGTTCTACTCGTTGAAGTGTTTCTGTAGCCGTGGCTGTTTCTACGCTGGAAAGAATCCCTGGCCATGGCTAATGCAAAACAAAGGCAGTTCCTACGCTGCTTGATTTTTTTGTGAAAACTTTGTTGAAGCGGTACGATGTGGCCACGAAGAACAAAATTACTGACGAAGAAGGGTGAGAAAAGCAGGCTGAAGTCAGTGAAGACATCGATGTCGAACGTAGTGATACTAGTACTGGTACTGGAATTTAGCATGGACTACCTGTGGAGCGTGAAGTGGCTGCCCACTCGCTGGTAAGTGGACCCACTTGCAGCTCCAGTCGCACGAGTGCCGTTTGAAACTTTCTGTGGATCCTAGAGTATCCTGAGCTCAGTGGACGACGCATCTCAGAGCTGCTGAACTTGGGCTACTGCCCCTGTAGGAATGACGTTCGTGTCAACCACTGTACTGCACTGATGGTGTAAGGAAAACGCTGGACAGAAGCTTGTGTTCTGAACCAGGGACGAACTTCTAAATCCTGCTTTTGTAAAAATGGGGATGCCACAACTAAGATGTGCACATTCAGGTGTGTATTGGGTAAATGCCTGTGGTTGATTATTTTGAATCCTTTCCTATGCGCAAGTACATGCGTTTGTGTGTGTGTGTGTGTGTACGCGCGCGCGAGTGTGTGTGTGTGTACGCGCGCGCGCGCGCGTGTGTGTGTGTGTGTGTACGCACATGCGCGCGCGTGTGTGTGTGTGTGTGTGTGTGTGTGCAAGCTGTTGAAAGGTGTAATCCGAGCACAAGTTGCTATGTCTAACGTAGTTTGTTCGCTATCCTAGCTTCAGCGTTGGGCAGGTGTATGAGTGTGTGTGTACGCACGTGTGTGTGTGTGCGCGCGTGCTCGTGCCCGCATGTGTGGGTTCGCACGCAATGTTGATCTGGGTTATGCACATGTCCCCACGAGTGCACTGTGTGCATGTGCATGCAAATGTTTGTGTACATGTATGTGTGTATGCACGTGCGTGTGCAAAGCTAGGTGTGGAAGGGGGGGGGGGGGGGGGGGGGCTCACGGTGCTGGTTCTGTATGCCTCTCCTCTCTAGTGTCCGCAAGGACAGTGTGGTAATGGCTTTACAGTACAGGAGTTGCATGTGAATGCGCATTTGTGAACCGTATTTGAGACACAACAAGAATTGCCGAGAGAGCATGACAGTACACTACATGTATATCGTATGTGTGCACGCCAGCGTGTGTAGATGCATATTGCCCTTCATGCGATGTTTTTCTGGAGTCTGCTGCTATCAACGCAAGTGACAACCAGCAAATGCATGCCCAGTGCAGTGGCTGGTCTTCATGCTTTTATTTACACTAAGTCCTACTATGGACTAGTAGTGTTACAATGATGCGTGCACGAGAGTGCGTGCATGTGGGTGGGTGTTTATATGTGCGTGCGTACGCGTGTGAGTGTTTAGTGTGCCTTATTTTGAATGCCTGCTTTCACATTATTCATGTGCCAGTTTCATGGTCGAGGTTGTTATGAAACCTCGCTGCCTTACATGTACATGTACACTACTCGTATATCAATGTGCTAGGACTGAAGGCTACATGACATACATGTAATGATGCATGTACCTTTCCAAGCACAGACTGTCTGGTATGTCCAAAGGAGGTTGCAGCATGAAAATAACTTCTTCTAAAATAATATTACCATACTACCATGTCATTGGTAGTGATATTTAGTCAAGAAGGCAAGAATGGTCAGATTTTCTAAAAATGCTATTTTCAGAATTGGCCTAAAAATACCATGTTTTGATACCTATATTGTTTGGTAGGGGCCTAAAGTGCCTGGTGACACCATCAAAACTGTCCATTATCGGTTTCCTTGGGGCTCAAGGATCACAGAAAGACACAAAAATCAATATGTCCATGGACAAAATGTTGCAGGCTGAACCATTTCACAATTCCGCCCCCGATGGAAATTTCGGTACCCGTAATTTCGAAAAAGTGGCTCGCCAAGGGCAAAACTAAGACACAGTCTATCTTGTGTAGCCAAGATACCTCCAAATGTGGTTCTTAAACATATGATGAAGAAAATGCTTAGTATCCTCCTTCCAGGAGGCTTCTTTGGGTCTAAAAGCAAATTTTTTTACCATTTTTTTTGCCGAAAATCAAGAAATTGTACACTCACTAAATACACCAGAATACCTCTTATATGCCTGGTGACCCTACCTAAAAACTATACCAAATTGAAGAAGAGACATCACTCCACCATTCTATGCATAAAAAACAGGGTGTCCATGGACCTTTTATTTTTACTTCTTTAGGTGGGAGCCTCCTTAATGCGTATTTTACGACTCCCTGCTGCTGATCTGATGCTCAGATCATGAGCTGGCTTTGTACTAGGTGGCTGCACACCAGGGAGTCGTCAAATACCGGTATTTGACGACTCCCTGCATGCTGCACACGATCGTACGAGTGTATTTTCAAACAATTACCTGGGAATGAGGGCATACGTTCGATCATCGCACAACAAACATTGAAAACATTCAAAAGTAAAAATAAACTCTCTTTTTTGTCGTTTCGTACATCACAATGATCTCCACAATCACAACTCGAGTGATAATGAGCTTTTGAGTTTAGTATCAATTTATTTGGGAGTAGAGTTTTCGATTTGGTTTTGCTCCAAGGCTGTACGTGCCAATGGAGACCCTCTTGGAGCAACAGCGGCGCTACCATGAGGAGCGTGAGCGCCTCGAGGAGGCGATGGCGCAAGAAAAACTTTTGAAGAAACCAGTTCTCAAAGAAAGGATCAACTCAGACCATCGGGTGGATCAGTACCTGCGGAGGTATCAAGAGTGCACTGATACGCTGCATGACCTCTACGAGGACAACGATGGCCTCCGGAAGAAGGAGATCGCAGCGCTCTCAGGCCCAAATGAGCTTGCAGAGTTCTACACACGTCTGAGACATATCAGAGACTGGCATCGTAAGTTTCCGAACGAGGTGCAGGAACCCATGCAATATGAATTTCTGAAAATGAAGGAGTCAGGCGAGGATGACAGCGCTCCAGTTGTGTTCACTGATGAGGAGGGCTACGGGAAGTATCTGGACCTGCATGAGTGCTACCGCAAATTTATCAATTTGAAGTTCACGGAAAAGGTCGATTACGTCACCTACCTGAAGAACATCGACCGGCTATTTGATATTCCCAAAGAAAAGAAGTCGCCCGAGTACCGCCGCTATTTAGAAGGTCTGCTTGACTACCTCATGGATTACTGCCAGCGCGTTTTCCCACTAACCGACTTGGCTGCTGAGTTTGAGCGCGTGCAGGTTGAGTTTGAGGAGAAATGGGAAGGTGGTACGTTCCAAGGCTGGCAGAAGGACGCGGAGAGTGCCATGGCAAAGCAGTCTGGTGCTCATCTAGATCTGTCGGCGTTTTCGTCGTCGGAAGAACTCGCATCGCTTGGTCTTGATCGTCTCAAGTCTGCGCTTCAGGCACTGGGGTTAAAGTGTGGTGGCACATTAGATCAACGTGCACAACGTCTATTTGCTGCCAAGGACAACCAGGTAGACGGGGCTGCCGCTGCTGCCACTTCCACCAAGGGTGGCCGTAGTGCTGCACAAAAGCAAAAGAGCCTTGCCAGTCTGGAGGCCAAGGTCTACTACCTGTTTGAAGTGCTCGGAGAGCAGCGGCTGGACACTTGTGAGAACGTCGAACGTCGTCAGGCCAGAACCGCTGACGAGCTAGAGGAGGACGCACAAGCAGCAGATGCTCTGGATTCGGATGACTCGGACGACGATGAGTCCACACCGTACAACCCCAAGAACCTGCCGCTCGGCTGGGACGGCAAGCCCATTCCTTACTGGCTGTACAAGCTGCACGGCCTTAACATGACCTACGAGTGCGAGATCTGTGGTAACTTCAAGTACCGTGGACCCAAGGCCTTCCAGCGACACTTCTCCGAATGGAGACATGCCCACGGTATGCGCTGCTTGGGCATTCCGAATACTGCTCATTTCGCCAACGTCACATCCATTGACGATGCACAGAAGCTTTGGAACCGGCTGAAGGGCAGCAAAGAAAAGCTGCGCTGGATGCCGGATGCGGATGAAGAGTTTGAAGATTCCAGTGGCAACGTTGTCAACAAAAAGACATTTGAAGATCTCCAGCGTCAAGGTTTGTTGTAGTGCTTGACGTCTGGTCTTTACCCTTCTGTTGGCGCTCACCCCATGTGAAACGAAACTATTTTTAAACTTGTTTGTACATCTACATGACTGTGTGTGTGTGTGTGTGTGTGTGTGTGTGTGTGTGTGTGTGTGTGTGTGCGTGCGTGTGCGTGCGCGCGCGCTTATTTCGTCTATATGTGTGCACTGTACATAATTGATTGCATGAAAGAGTGGTATGCAGGCATTCCAACATTATTATGTCGTTACTAGTTTGCTGTTTGTCTTCTTTATGTGTTATGTATGCTTGTACATATGTCGAGAACGATCATAGACTGAGCTTCTTGATGAACATGTGTTAGAATCACTGTGTGCGTGTGTGTGTGTGCGCGCGTGTGCATGTTCAATTTCCAATCGAGAGGTTGTGGGTTCAATTCCCGATGATTATGGCCACATGCGAATTTCTTCGCTGTCTCTTTTCGACTGTTGACTCATTCCCGTGGGTGGTTGCCAACAGCCTGTGCATGCCGCAGGATGTGTGATGTGTTTGCATGAAAAACTGAGAAAATACCGAAAGTAGGTATTCAGTGGTGAAAAATCCTGCTGAAAAGCTGCGTGATTGATATGTGGCGGCAACTAACTTCTTCAGCTGTTCAAACTGTTGAATGGTGCCATCTCAGATCACAGCCGTATGGAGTACTGCTGGCTAGTACAGCCATGGCCAAAGAAATCAAACCCGCGTGCCGAAAGCATCGCCCCAAGCAGCCCTCGGATCAGTTTGAAATGGAAACGCGGCGCAACTTTCAACTCGCGGGTCGTATTTCTTTCTTTGGCCTAGACTGTATGTGTAGCAATGTGCTTCAACAGCCGATCCCGAAAACGGAAGAAATTCCGTGCAAAGGATTCAGGTCGGAGTGGTACTTTGTGTGATGAGAGGAAACGGACATGCATGCATTTGATGTGCTCATTTGATTCATTCTTGTTTTGTGCTTACATGTACGTCATACGACTTGCTTGTACAAGCAACTAATTCTGACCAAGGAGTCATGTTTGAATGGTTTCCTGCATCTGACAAGTGTAGCTCTATCATCTAGTGGTGTGCACGGGTAGTCAGGTACCCGTGCTACCTGTGGGGACCTCGGGTAGACGGGTACCAGAATAGTACCCGAAAACCTGAAGTCGCAGATGACATCATGTATCATACGTACGTGTACAAGTTCATGTAATACATGTACTCCCCATGTCTACCCAGTGTGTAAGGGAAGAGGTGCATTGTGGTGTTACCATGGAAACATTACCCAATCGGGTACCCGTGCTACCAGTGGAAAACCACCCGAGCCTGATACCCGAAGAAAATGCTACCCGACTCAGCCCTACTATCGTCACTGGTGCAATAATACAGTAAATATCGGATATAACGTGCCCCTTTGATTTTCGAAAATGTATCACTATATCCGGTGCATCACTATAGAGGACTTTCCATTACATCACCTTTTTGGCGCCTTCCCGGTGCCCACCCAAAGATCACCCATAAGACAAGTCCGTGTCCTACGGTAAAATGTGCTTGGGTGGCAAAAAGAGAATCAAATGTGTTGTTCGGTGTACGGTTGAAAATGATGTTGCAGGCCGTCGCAGTGGTGAAGCACTTTTGCTTTTCTTTGATGTGGTGAATAGTTTCGGTAAGTCGCGAGGATTACTAGCCGCAGTTACTCTACTGTTTATTCCAGCCTTGAAGAGGTGTTGCCGCGAGAAGATTGACAGAATCCGTGGGCCCAGTACATTGATCCATATTTACCTATGGACGAAGACCTTTCAGCCAATCCCCCTGCGTTGGGTATCCAGGCCTCTCTAAATATTTAGTGAATGTCCCCAGCACATATGCAAAGGACTCTCTAAAGTCTTACAATAGCCCTGATGGATACAAATGTATGTGTCTCATTGCTGACTGGGTTGGCACATTATCGTGTCTTGTCCAATCGAAGGAAGAAACAACAACTGTCAACAAAATTCGTTTGCAAACGTCAGGCACTCGCAGAGTGTTTTTGCCGAACCTGTCCATCCTTGGGTAGCTGCTGAATTACCTGGAATTGTTTTTTGGCGCACACTGCACTTGCATGGTGGGCCTGGGAGAAGCATGCTCCCATGTTGCTGCAGTGCAGTGTTGTTTTGACTGAATTTACGTTGGAGACTGAAATGTGATGTGTGCTGAATGTCAACACCTACACCACTGGGTCACTCACCAGTGGCTGGCACCGTCAATGAACACTACACGAAAATAGTGTACATGGATTTTACTTCAGCTGGGCAGAAATTGGAGCACCGTGCCCATAACCTACAAGTAGTCTCACTTCTCTTTCGCTGCCTGACTCTCTCTCTCTGTCTCTCTTGCTTTGCATGCCTGTCAGTGTATCCATGTGTGTGTGTGTGTGTGTGCGCGTGTGTGTGCGTGCATGTGTGGGTTTTTCTTCCTTATCAGTACGAGTATGACAATGTTGACATGCGGTGGCTGGTAGCACAAAAGCTGACAAAGTCAAACACGGCCATCATCATCATTGGTCCTATGTAGCCAAAAAGTTGGTGTAGTGGCGAACTTAGTTGTCCTGATCCTAAAACACGCTGATGAATGCACATCCAATACAGCAATTGTTTTTTCCTGGTCGTCCCTCGACCTGGCATTCTCCATAAGCAGTTGCTGATTACCGGTAGAGTGTCCTCCATTACTGCCTTTGCAAGAGTTACACAAGAAGTAAGATCAAGATGATCCTCACCACAAGAAGATCAAGAAGCTGAATACATGTACCTAATTGTCCAGAAAGACAGAAGATGAGGTATACTAGTATGTGCCCCAGCAGATGAAGAACTGCACAGCGCAGCAACCAAGTGGGAAGCAGAAGAAGATTGCGCAAGTAGGTCGATCAGAGTACTGGTATTATTTTATCCATGACAAAGGAAATACACATTGTGCAGAACATGAAGCATACACACTCGCATGGAAGAGATAATGCCGGAGTTGCACCCAGGGCCAGTACTAGACTATAGCTAGCACCACCAGTCATGTAGAGGCACGTGCATAATAGAGCTGGGTACATTAGTCATTACCATCAGCATCAGCACTATCAATCATCAAACTCCAGCTATACCTTGCACCCCAACAAACTAAGTAAGTTGATAGTGTTCGGAATCATCTTCGTGTTTCCGCCTTTACTGGTGCTGCCACAAATGAGCTGAACAAGTTAGTTAGTTAATTCGATACGTACTGGGGTGACAGGGATGATCATGACTTTTCTCTTCGCCAACGAAGTGATGGAACAATATTCGTGTACTTCGAAGTATTTGCATAAGGAGCGAAGTTCTCGAGTCGTGTGTCCGTCATCCACTGGTTCCGTCGTTCTCCATCGTAGGGAAAACGATAACAACTCAAAGACGATCCAGGTGTGGGAACATCCGATCGCGAGCAGCCCTTTGGTATTCTCAAACTACAGTATGCAAAATGGAACTTCTTTCGAAAAACACTGTTTCTTTCCAGTGCAGTCTTCTTTTTTTGCCACCCAAGCTCCGTTTCAAGTCCTTTGATCGTTGGTGAACTCGATGATCTTTGGCCCGAATCCTCATAGGCCGCACGGTATGACTCATTGGAAAGTCCTCTATAGCCGATTTGCATGTTTGACCGACACATGCGCGGCACATGACTGCACATGAAATGATGCGTACACGCTGGAAAAAGCATGCTGAAAGTGCATGCATGCTCCGCGGACTGTGTACCGCGGTGCATGACACAGAGGAGTGCATGGCAGTGCTAGTGCAGTACGAGTACAGACTGTACATGTACTAGAACTTCGATACATCATGTGGCATGGCTGCTTCTTCAGCGTGTTCTCCAAAAAAAGCCTGAGCTGGATCCGTGCTCACGTAGATCGTAGATCTACTCGGTGTCCAACGAGTTGCGTAGAGCCAGAAATAGACATGAGTGGCTGTGTACGTGAGTTGGCAACATCATCGTGAGAGGCAACACAGCCAGAAACGGACAAGAGCATGCAGAAAGATCACTCTTGATCATTATATGCGATATTTTCCTGTACATTTGATATGGTTTGCTTCCTGAAGGCCATCACGCGATATATCGGTATAGCCGATAATAGTGTATATAGTGATATTTTAGCTGTATTTTTTCAGATTTGATTTTGATTTTGACGTGTTCTATCACTATAACCGGTATATCATTATATCCGGTCACTTTATAAACGATACTTACTGTACTGGTACACCAGGCACACACGCAATATACACAAAGTCCACGCTCAGATTACCGATCATGTGGTTAGATATTTGAGAGGCGAAATACAGTGGAGAAGTTTTTTGGGTACCAGCCCATTTGTCAACAAGAAATGGCAAGCAGATTAATGAGAATAGCGCTGTTCAGAGTGTCTCTCTCCTGTAGAGAACATCACATGAGTGCATGGTGAAAAGCCGAAGTATTCCTACTAATACTACGTCCATGGCTCACGTACAAGACACGTTCAAGGCACATGAACATTTGCGGAGGTAGGCCCACGCACACACACACACACACACACACACACACACACACACACACACACACACACACACACACACACACACACACACACACACACACACACACTGGCAACACGAGCCAGCAATGCACTGCTCTCTAGGTCAACTGCTGGTCGTTCTCGTCCTGCAACAGGACACCATCAACATGCTCAGTTAGCCGATCTATGTAGCTATCCACTACATTTGAAGAGGTGGCCTTTTCCAATGTCCAGCGCCATGCTTCAAGTTTATGGTCAATCTTCTGACGCTCAAAGCGGCGTGATGCCATGGAGAATGACGCATTTTGATCGTGCGCGAGGACGTTCTCCATAAGCAGTGACATGCTGGAACGCTTCTCTCCGCTTGGAAGCAAGCAGAACACTGCGGTGCACACAAACACACGCATGCACAGATGAGCAGAATACAACCACACAGCCACGAACAGGGTCAAAACAACTCCCAGTCTGATGAAGCGGTGTGGTCCAAGGAGCAATGATAGTATAGTAGTATCACCAGGTGCTGTATTTAGAAAAGAAAAGTCTGCCTTGCACACAAGTGTGTGCAGTCTTGCTTACTGGGAGCTGAACAGTTGATAAACAGTTGAATATTTCCCACAGCAACCAGTTGGTCTGGTGTACATTCTACTGGCAATGCAATTAACAGATGAGAGTACTTCCAGTCAGCCATCTATCTAGTGCTCCCCTGCTGCTACAAGACCATGAGAGTAAACACAATCAAGTTTTACCCATGTAAAGATACTGCCTTGGAAAGACCCTTGATCTGCCACTGGATGAACAATCCCCCTCACATGAAAGCAGTGGCCCTGATACAAATATACTGCAGACAATGGAAGCCTCACCTTTGCCAGGTCTGCCGAGTCGGGCAGTTCGTCCGGCAATGTCCAGGTACTCCTCTATGTCAGTCATTTCGTTGAAGTCGGCCAGGATGACGGCTTCCACGCCTGGTATGTCAATACCAGCCATGTCCTGGCCGCGGCATACAACAATGCTCTTCGAGCCAGTATTCACCGACTTGATGGCTTGTGCGGCGCTTTCGTAGCCGTCGGCAGAGGACAGGTCTGCCATGGGCGCTAAGCGGAACTGCCACCAGTTGGTGACGCCCGTCAGGCTCTTGTCCGTCTCCGTGTACCACTCCTTGGCGGTGTCCAGCTGCTTGGTAACATGCAGTACTTCTGCTGCGTCTCTGCAGTGTATCACCACTATCGGTGTGACTCCTCTGGACGGCCGCAGAGACTTCAAGCACCTGATCAGGCTATGCACCTTCTCGCCAGCCTGGTAGTTCTCAAACAGAAAGGACACCGAAGGCGGAAAGCGGTAGAGCGACTCGCCAGGCGCTACCCATGCTTCCCGGCATGCGTTCATGCTCTTCATCCATTGTATTAGGCGCGCGGTGCCCGCGGCTCTCCTGTGCAGTGTCGCTCCGACGTAGACCACTTTGGGCGCAAATGGCCTGGACTTGCCAGAAATTTTCTGCGGAAACAAATTATTGAGCACGTCTATAGCATCACCGCCGGCAAACCTATCGTTGACGATGTTATCCAAGACCAACAGCTCTACACGAGCGCACTCAAGCGCCAGGTTGTGCTTCTTCAGGCCGTCGATGCTGGCCACAAGCAGCTTGGTGTTGGGCAGGATTCGCAGGCGATTGAACTCATGCAGAGGCGTGGCGGCGACGTCACCGAAAGACTTGCCCAGGACATTGAACACATTGCACACCTGCAGCAGCAGCAGCAGCAACAACAACACATCAGCAGCAGCAGAAAACAAGCCATGAAACAGGAAACAGCCAGCATGAACAAACGGGTATTCAGAAGAATAGAAGTACGAATTGCCATACCAGCTACCAACTACGCCACAGCTACAAGTACAGTGCTCCCACTCACTGGCATAGCTCTGTTACCCAGGTCAGAGGCACGGCATCACTGGCATAGCTCTGTTACCCAGGTCAGAGGCACACACTCACTGGCATAGCTCTGTTACCCAGGTCAGAGGCACACACTCACTGGCATAGCTCTGTTACCCAGGTCAGAGGCACGGCACGAACAATAGGGCTTGAACATGCTACGTCACGGCCTGGCAGGAGGCATGACAATGCCGACTTTGGCATCCACTTGGATCCAGCTTTGCATGCATCCATGAACGTTTGTGGTCGAATAGGACTGACGTTTCAGGACATCAAGCCACACCAGCATTCGACACGCAAAAGACCCAAAAGTCAGTATTTGTTGACTTCTGACGTCATCACGTTCAAGCCCTATCCTCCGCGGCCCAGGCTCATTTGGTGCACAGCCACACATGCCTGACCGTCCCAAAGTTCACATCAACTTCAGGACCTAGCCCAGTGCGTGAGTGCGCATGCACATGACCCAACACATCTATCATCTCACACACACATACCATGTAGTACATGTCTCACACAGTCACACACATACGATGTAGCAGCAGGAGTGCATCTCAGTGCCATAACTCCACTGCCTGTGCGTCTGAACTTTGAGCGCCTGGACCCAAGTGTGCAAAACGCACAGAACAATACCAATGTGTTGTGGTGCTGGGTGAAGATTTACGCACGGCCTTCCGGCGGTCAATATCTTATAGTACATGGTGCAATTACGATTGAATTACCTGTGTGACCAAGAGTTCGTTCGGAACAACAACGACTCCCTTCAAGCATCGCTCTGTGGATGATGCTGCCTGAGAAACCCTTGATGCCAAAGACTTCTGGTGCTCTTGAGCAAAGTGGTTCAAGAAAGGCAATAGATAACCTGTTGAGCAAAAATCAGCCGAAGAAATTTGTTTACCAACATCTGCAGCTAAAAACAGATCACAAGTGCTGTTAAGAAATCAGTGATAGAAGCGCCAGTGTAGATTAAGATTGGTACAAGCAGAGAGAGTATGACCGGGAATGTTTGACTCATATCTTGAGCTGCGATAGACTCACTCGCAGCAGATTGTTCTATACGGCATTTCTTGGCAGAAGCATGATCAAGCGCGTAGGTCTTTCCATGCTCGTCATGCAGATACTACGTCAGTTGATCAGCTGCTGAGTACATGACGCATGGGTCTACTGTCTCTTGTTCTACTTGGACTCACGTGGCCGCAATGACCAATGTACCAGTTCTCTGCACTCTGATCTCTGGCTGCACATGATAGCATTAGTGAGCGAAATGGCCATAGAAGACTAATATGATAAACAGAGTACCGGTACTGCGGTGGACCGAGTGAGCCCAAAACTCTTCGTTATCTACTCTTGCTAACAGCAAGCACATACCCTTAGCAACTGTGATAGCACTCAGTTCAGGTCATACCCTTAGCAACTGCGGTAGAATTCAGCTCCGGTCAATCTACGTAATTACAGTACTTACACAGTGTTTTTCCTGATCCAGTCTGGTCGCAGACAAACACATTCTTCTCTTTGATCACCGTTGGAATGGCCTGAGGTGCACGCAGAGAATTTAAAAATGCATGTGTATGCACAGTGAGTGGAATGAATAATTCATACATATATATATATATATATATATATATATATATACTACACAGGCGCGTAGCGAGAGTAGATACTTTGCAGTCAGGTGTCCATACTAGTACGCGGTTGGCCAGGACATGTCGAAATGCCAGTGTACTTGTATATATTTATATATCAATTGAAACAGTGTACTAACTTGGTACTTTTGATATCAATTACACGCTTCTGTATTGTATACATGTATTACAACTGCCAGATATTTCGCCTAGCCTCTAAAGCTCTAGTGGAATAACATGTATTATCTGTATCAAGGACCTCAAATACATCTAGACTTGGTTGGCCAAAGATATCTAGTATCCATACAAATATTTCCCGAGCTACGCCACTGCTACATATACATATTCTAGTGTGCAGTGTGCTCTATACATGGGATTGGCCAGATGATACACACATGTCTATCTCACATGGCAAGTCCCCATCAAATTGGCCTGACCACCAGGACATAGCACTCATCTATTGCACATGAGGTACGCAAAGGAATGCAAGGGCTTATTTGTTGTGACTCAGAGTTTCATGGCTTAACAACCAATCATTAGACAACAATACTTAGTACCTGATGATTGGTTGTTAAGCCATGAAACTCTGAGTCGCAACAAACAAGCCCTTACTTTCCTTTGCGTACTGCTCTTGTGTACTGCGCTTTGCCCATCACAGGCATTGAGCACTATCGCAGGACAAGGCACTGCACTGCAGTCTCTGTGCACTCATTCATTGTGCTGCAGCTGCAAAGTCCTGTGAGTTGCCGCAATACACGTTCCAGAAAAGATGCTGTTCAGCTCTAATCCACCTAGCCATCCATGTCTGCATAGATGATTACGGATATACATGTACTTGCGACATTACAGTACAGGCGGGTAGCACCGCCGTATGGAGGTCGTCTGGACGGAGGGGGGGGGGGGGGGGGGGGGGGGCAGTGGGCTCTCCCCCGTGAAAATTTGGAAATTAGGGTGCAAAATCCTGCATTCTGGGCACTTTGGACATTGCGTTTACAAAAGGTGGTCGGGCCAAAGCCGGACCGGCCGCTACGCCCCTGCAGTAGCAGCAGCAGCAGCACTGGTACTACTACACATTGCAGAACAATGAGTACTTTGTACTTCAAGTAGCGTCACTAGCTACGATAGTAAAACCTGTGTTTGCCGGACCCAGTTCTGTACCAAGCGGAATCCTGTATTGACTGGACGAATTCTCATGCACCAAAGTCCTGTGGATCGAACATGCATCCCTGGATCAAGTGGAATCCTGTCATATCAGGACAGTTTCCGCTGCACCAAGGGCACCCGGTTAGGGGGGGGGGGAGGGGGGGGAGGGGGGGGGGGGGAGGGGGGGAGGGGAGGGGAGGGGGGGGGGGCAGGTTTTACTGTAGTAGACATAGTCCGCAATACAGCACTACGAACCGGTGCAGATCAGAGAGTCATATTTATACGACTCCCGAGTGCAGATGGGTTCAACTGCACTGGACAACACATTCCACGGTGTCAACGGCAGTGATATCAACACAGCTGGTGAGGACAAGAATACGGGCACTGGACGCAGACTCTTGTAAACAGTATCTTACCTTCGCCTGGATTTTAGTCGGAGTTGTGATCTTGTGCTTAGCAAGCTCCTTTACAACAGCACTATGGATGCCAAGCTCGGCAAATGATGGCCGGTGGTGCTGCTGCTGTTGCTGCTGGTGTCCATCTCGCAATGTGGCTGCAACAGACAGTGCTCGAACTGGCTTGAGCTCTGATAAACCATTCAGAAAAGATATAAAAGATTCATAAGTTTTAGGGAGTTGAAAGGAACAATTAACAAAAGTTTACAAAACACATACTGTAATTTCACAAATTTTCGGTGTACTTTTATTTTCGGTGCTTTCGGTGCATTTGTTTCATACCTAAAAATTCAACGCACCGAACAAACACTATTTAAACACACATAATCCAACAGGGAACTGCTTCTCTCGACCTAAAATTTCTGTTCACCTAACCTGGCCTTTTGCCCTCATTCCGAAAATATTATGCACCGAAATATTTCTCAAATTAGAGTATTTTGTTCAATTGCTGCCACAACACACACCATAGACACACGCGCGCGCGCGCGTGCACGCACACACGTGTAGCCAATGGGCATTGAAAAAAGGCAAAGTGGACAGCAAGCACCATGCTTGGGCTTTTCTACAACCCTGGTTGGCAATGCACATTCGATGAGCTCATCAGTGTTATCGTGTGCACTACAGTCAGACCTCGCTTAACCGCACCACCAGAGCCCCGGGCAGCCTGCGGTGGCCAGAACGACCATCAATATCACCCCAGGTGCTTACAACATTGTCGACGTCAAGTCGTCAACACAGCAATCGTCTCGGCCATGAAGGCTGCGGGCATTGTCTTTGACACACCGGTGGTCTACGAACCAGGATTCGAGCTTAAAGCCAACAACAGCACGCTGAAAGGTGAGATGACGCTGCGCAACACGTCCCCCACTCAATCGCGCCCGTGCTTGGATTTGTGAACGAGGGGGTTGGCCGCCTTGGGGCCCCCGGGCTCGTGTTTTGCCCTTGTTTGCGATCCTGTTTTGGGGGTTGTTGCAGGGTAGTTTGACCACTGGGAGTCTTTGCGAGATGTGGGGAGGCTCCTATAGGGTTGGTGCAACTCCCCCCCCCCCCCCCCTGCTGTTTCAATTGCTGACTGTAGTCGAAGTGACGACTGCGGGCATACTAACGGTGTCAGCGCCAGGATTTATGGTGTGAGTTTGTAAGTAACACGTTAATAGGAGATGGGTTTGTCATTGAGTTTGGTGCTCTGTTGGGGCGTTGCTATTTCATTGCACTAAAAATCGTGACATTTGCAGGAGGCGAATCTGTGTGCATAGAGCTGTGTGGGCTTTCAGCACTTTCCTCTTGAGATTCTCAAAGGAAGTTACTTTACTTAGTACGCAGTTTCGTGTGGAGGCTTCACATTCTAATTCAAAATGCAGTGTTGAATTCACAGCTGTCAGCTCAACATACAATGCAATTTCAAAACAGCAGTTCAGTGTCGGCACAGTGCGACCCTTACCTCGTATCCAACCGGACTTTCTCAGTATGCAAACCACCGAACTATGGTACGCCATACTTCGTCCTACATGCTGCTCACAACGGCTACGCTGACAAGACAAGATATTATGAATCAGCAATTATTTATCAAGAATACATTAAATTTTGTGGTATCTCATCTGAAAATAATTGAAATGAAAAATGATCGTATGATGCACTAAATTAATTGGGTGGGGAAATCCCCGTTCCTTGATCTCGCAACACGCCGTCACGCGTGTTCTTCACGCTTTGTTTGATTTTCATTTTGTGTGGGTCATTTCGACTTCGTTCAGGATTTGTTTATTTTAGTTAGGTATTCTTGAGTCCAGTACTAGAGGGCTACCTGTAGTCGTGTTTGTCTGGTGACCAGCATGCAACCATGGCACTCCGCCGTTCAGTGTTACGTATGGTAGGATGCTCGGCCAGGAGACTAGGTGAGATACGTGTTCATGTTATGCAATACATGTGTTCTCTTTTTTTGTAAATGAAAGCATTATGAAATTTGTTCAAAAGGATTGCAATGACATTTCGGGCATATGTTTGAAAATGCTCACTTCTGTGAAAAAGAAGGACCAAAGCTTTACAAGTTTAGCACAACACTGATGTGATACTGACATTCAACGGCCTGATGTTGAATGTCAGTATCACATACCGGTAAGTCAGTGTTGTGCTTACAACAGATAACTAATTTGCTTGTCAACCTTTGGTCCTTCTTTTTTTCACTTTAATCCATGGCTCTCAATCCGAGTCTTATCTGCTCACTACTGTATCAACGTTTTAGGAGACAACATTTTTGATACCAGTAGACTAGTACATGTCATTGTGCATCTACTTGTGTCTCCAAAACCACTGCCATAGTGCCAGGCAGCCATTCATTCACGATTCATATCACAATATCAAGGGTATCGCTTCACCTCTGATAAGGTGACTACTTGTCCCAGAGAACCACTAGAATCGGTATAGTACGTCTGGCACAGTCAGGGTCCAGCTGCATGTATTCCCAAAGCTATGCAAAAGACGTTACTTTAGTAGCGTCTGGCGCTAGCCAGGGTCCACACCGCTTTATTTTGTATCTGTGTATGCGTATGTGCGTGTGTGTGTGTGTGTGTGTGTGTGTGTGTGTGTGTGTGTGTGTGTGTGTGTGTGTGTGTGTGTGTATGCATGTGCCAGTTTGGTGTTCTTTTGCTAATTTCTTGTCAATGTGACTGCACTGGTGGTTTCAGGATCAAAACCGCAGTTCTTGTTGCCATTTTTGTTGAGTCATGATAGTTTACAGTAAATTTAGGCTCTGTTTAGCTTTGCCTTCTTTGCTTTTATGCTGGATGACGTAAATGTGCTAGCTTTGAAAAAATAATACTCTCTCTTGAATATTGCCCTCGCTTGAGTAGTGCCCCGTCTGTGATGGACATTGAAAAATAGTGCCCCAGGGGCACTAATTGTCAAGTACGGTATGCCACATCTGGTGTTTTCTTGAAGACGAAATGCAATCAGACTAAGGATTGAAGCAAGCTTTAGGCTTGGCTCCTCACAATCAGCATTTCAAAGCATCCACTACGTGTAGCACTTACTGTCACTGCCTTGTCTTCAGGTCCATTTGTCATCTATTGTTATCACGATGCATATCACGCTGATCACACCTCCTCACGCCTACATAACTAGTGCGTAGCTGTAGGGTTTGTTATGTTTCTCTGCGCGTGATACTCATATCTTTTGCTCCTTTTTCTGTGTTTGTTCTCTTGTATCTACCCACTGCTGCTTATATCACCTATACGCTGTTCATAGAGGTTATTTTACTGGTCAGTTTCTGCTTCTGCATCCATCTGAGTAGACGGCGAAATGTTGATTGTAAACAGCCTGAAGCTTGTTTTATTCTTTTAATAGTCTGATTCTCTATTAAATTTTATTGCTCTATAATTTGTATCTTGCTTCCTTGGAAGTTGTTTTTGAAAGGGGAAACAGTTTGAAACTGGTTCCCTCGCCTGCTATCTGGATACATTTGCTGGAAAGAAACGTGTACAATCAAGCGAGGTCTGACTGCATTTTATGAAGCGCTGGACCTCCTTTTTGGTGGTCAAATCATCCACTAACGTCTGATGATTCACGTTTTTTTTGTCCTTCAGCCGTGCCACAACCTGTGGTGAAACTTCAAACATGCCAGTTCTCTGTGCAGCCAGTGCGTCAGGCCCGTGTTAACACACTCGCGCCGGTGACATTTCTAGATGATCAAGAGGATGAGCTGACTGCACTCCGACGTATTGTGCGTTCGCACACGCCAAAGACGCTGACTGAAGAAGTCAAGGCCGACGTAGGTTGACCGTGACCATCCATGTGTGTGTGTGTGTGTGTGTGTGTGTGTGTGTGTGTGTGTGTGTGTGTGTGTGTGTGTGTGTGTATGTATGTGTGTGTGTGTGTATGTATGTATGTATGTATGTGTGTATGTATGTGCATGTAGAAGCTTCTATAAGATCCACTCTGATTTAGCCGCCCACACTAGTAGCAAGTATTACATTCACTGGGGGCAGGGGTAACTGCAGTTGGATCCCGGGACGGACACCCTGAGGCCGTGAATCCTTTTTCTGCACCTTGTCCTCGCCCACTTACTGAGGTGTGGTTAGCCCATAAGTGGGATCATTTCTAATTCCAGCCAGAGTTTTGGGGATTTCAGGGGGTGTTGGCCGTTGGGCGGTTCAATAGCCAATTGAGTAATCTTTCCGAAATTCCTTTTGAGTCTCTTTCTCCTCTCCTGGCCCTGCTGGGGAGACCCACGTGACCAATTTTGGCAGTGAGCAAGTACAGTACAGTATGTGTGTGTGTGTGTGTGGGTGCGTGCGTGCGTGTGGGTGTGTGTAGTAGCAAGTATTACCTTCACTGGGGGCAGGGGGAACTGCAGTTGGATCCTGGGGCGGATACCCTGATGCTGTCAATCATTTTTCTGCACCTTGTCCTCACCCACTTACTGCGGTGCAGTGAGCCCATAAGTGGGATCATATTTTTTCAAGTCCACCAGTAGGTTGTCGATTTGTGGGCTGTCGGCCGTTGGGCAGTTCAATAGCCCATTGAATCATCTTTCCAAAATTTCTTTTGAGTCTCTCTCCCCTCTCCCAAGGGGAGGAGGCCCATGGAACCAGTTTCTGGCAGTGAGCAAGTTCAGGTGTGTGTGTGTGTGTGTATGTGTGTGTGTGTGCGTGTGTGCGTGTGTGTATGACGGCTGTCATCACTTTTGGTGGTGGGAATTCTGAAGATTCAACGGTGTGTGTCCGGTGTGTGTCCGTGCATGCGTTGCGAATACTTATGCGCATGCTTCGAAGTATGTGTTAATAATCTGCGAGACAAAAGGGAAAGCCAGTTGATCATTTCTTGCCATTATCATGCTGGCTACTTTGTGGTGAATGTAGTGTTTACTCGACTGGGTTAGGTTTCTGCTCCGTACTCTAACAGTTCGTTTCTGTCGTTTTCTCTTCTGCAGATCCTCAAGCGTGTCCAGCAGATCTTTGGTCCTCACACACAAGAGATTTCGTCTGTAACCTTCCACTGCTGCCCGTTCTTTGTCGCCGCAACCGCCGGAATGCCCTTCGAGCGCCAGACCTCTGGCAATCGCCTGGTGGTCGTCTACGCGCCCACAAGCAACGAGGTGGTCGAGTGTCTCTCCAACAGGTCTCTCCGCCACCCACATCACTATGATCTGGAGGTAGGTAGAGCATGTGACTGGTACTCGGCGTGTATCCAACAGTGCTGCCAAGCATTGAAGATGCTGAAATAGCTAGAAGAGGACACACACCAGTTTTGATATCTGATTCTTGGGTCTTCCTTTCTTTCTTTTCTACATGTTTGCTTAAAAGTACTCTTTAGCAGAAGTGAAGAATTTGAGGTGTTGTACCGTGCTCGTGTTCTGTGCCATTGTGTTGTGCTCAGCATTGCAGGCTTTGTCGCCAGGCTTTAAGTTTTAACTAGGGCGTTGGTGGTGCCACTTTGTGGTGGATCCGACCTACTTACCTCCCACCGCTTAGGAGCTGCATCTGCGCCTTGATCCGAGAGGGTGGTAGCGTTCCTGCCTTGATCCTAAAGGGTGGTGGCGTTCCTGCCTTGATCCTAGAGGGTGGTGGCGTTCCTGCCTTGATCCTAGAGGGTGGTCGCGTTCCTGCGGATGCGGAAAACTCGACCTGCAGCCGAGTCTGACGCAAACCATGAATTTTGTTTGTTTGGTGGTGACACTGAATAGTGGCTTGATCAATGCCCATGCCGGTGCACTTCTTTGCCAATGCCGGGGCACTTCTTTCCATTCAGTGTGGCTGGTCTGCGTTTTTGTGCACTGCAGGAATGGCTTGTGATCCGCGACCTTCCCGTGTTTGTGCTGGGCTTTGCACGTGGCATGGGGTTGATGGTCGAAGTGGCCCAGCCGTTTGCAGATTGCCTCTTGTATCGCAGTGAGAGCCTAACCGAGGCCCTATCCATGGTCGAGAACCCGCGCGAGTTCCACGCCCGGCCATTTCTGTACAAGTCCTCGCTGGAAGCCGTCAATGCATTTTTCCCAAGTAACTGGCAGGTGAAGGAGACCACCGTTTCAAAAGTAATTCTTTTCGATCTGCTCTGTCGCGGTCTCTGGTAAGTCCTACGGGTGGAATTAGCCTGGGCAGTCACCTCTGGACCATGTTCAGACGGAGTGCTGTGAAACCCTGTGTTTAGCAACCGCTGTAAAAGGAGACAACCTGTATTTAGAGATCACATGTCTTCATAGACCACCTGTCTTTGCAGACCACCTGTCTTCATAGACCACCTGTATTTAGAGTCCACCTGCCTTTGGAGACTGGTCATCTCAGGCCTCCAGTCCCACCATTGTTTAGCCTGTGCTGAGAGACCGGCTGGTGGTGTTTCCATGCACTCCGGAGATGGTTGCTGACCTCAGGCTGGTCTGTACTCATGATGATATTGCCTTTCCTGATGGATGAATGCACTGTGTAGCAACTACAAGCACATTGTCAGCAGTCTTTCTTGACTGCTGATGTCAGCAATTTCTTATCATGTCAGTTCTTGTTTACTTGCATTTGTCTAAACTTGGAACCTTAAATTGTTGTGCCTGGGTAAAACGGGGATGCAGTGAATGGGGTTTTCGGTCTTCGACCTCTTTGTGATGGGTCTGACCTATTCACCTCCCACTGACTGCTTTAAGTGCTGCATCTGCTCCTTGATCCTTGAAGGTGGCAGCATTGCTACAGATGTAGAATACTAGAAAATTCATCCGGAGTCTCACGCGAACCGTAAAAGGCTACATGTCTTAAGAACTGTCTATCCATAGCTGATCAATCTACCAATGCAGTGCTTGATTTCAGCCATGTCTGGACTAATGTCTGAGTATTTATTAAGGTAGCTCAAACCTCTTAAATTTGACAGAAGAATGTTCGGTTTTTCGTCAAGCGTAGAGTGTTTTAAATCATGTTGTGCAGCTCGTGTTGGTAGCTTACACAGGACTGCTTCATCTACGTTGCTGACGTGTTTTGTGTGCGTTCCGCCACCGTTCTGTGTTGCCTTTCGTCCAGGATACATCATATCATCAATCGGCATGTGCGCAACGAGCAGCCCTACACGCACTGGCCAGACTTGATCGGTGAAAAGCTCCTGTCGGACAAGGAGGTCGAGCTGCTCTCGGCAACCCTGGTACGTTCCTCGGGAGGAATTTGCAAAATTATCTTTGTTCTTCCCCGTTTGAGAACGAACAAAGAAGGTGCATGGTGTTCAGATTGACTGGTTTCTGATTGTTGATTTCCGCCGGGTGCACGTGAAGCTTTGCCGGTAGTGCCTCAAAGTTATATGTACCGTTAAGTACCGCAAGCACGCCCGCCTCGCTCGAGCGCCCCACCTTGATTTTATAGCCGGGCCCAGGAAGCATGTACACGTATTGCTCGTTGTGCAGTCTATCCCTGCTCAGTTTGCCGTTGAGTGGATGCGAGCTCCACACAAGAACATGCTACGAGTATGTTTGACCTTATTTCACTATTAAAGGCTGCGTTCGTTTTTTGAACTGTTTTTCTACCTGCTGGAGTAGAGTAGAACTGATGTAATAATATATAAATAGAATATACTTGAAGTAATACTATTCGCGGAATCCACGTTAGCATCACTTGAATGTTCAGAAACACACAAGCTATAACCTTCGCTTCCGCAGGCCACCACTATGTCTTTTCGCCTTAGTGGCGAATGCAGACCTCACAAGTGAGTCAGGGGAGAGGAGGTGGGCCTCTCAACCAATCGGGTATGTAACGGCCCATAACCCTGTAAACTGCATCCTTGTTATCCTCACTCGAGAACAGATGTTGGACGAAGAAAAACAGTAGGTACAGTACGATGTACGGTACCAGCTCTCATGGTCCTTCATTCACAAAGCACCGTACCTCTACCAACTTCTACTGACTTCTACTAGCCTCTAATCAGAGGAAAGTAGAACCGCCTGGGGTTGAAATAACGAACACATCTAACGAAATATTCAAACCGGAAGAAGTAGTTTTCTACCGAAAGAAGTAGTTTTCTACCGACTACCGAAACCTGCAGATGATAACAATCGCCCCCTAAGATTATCTCACCGTTCAAACTTAGTTGCATTCTGACTTACGATTTTCCTTTCTCTAGCTATACAATTAAGGTGGGGTGCTCTTGCAGTATTTTACGGTATTTGCAGTGAAAATGCGGCGCAAGCAGTTGTAGCCCAAGCAATTGCATCTTTTAAAGTCACAGTAGTGCCCAAATGTGGCCCACGCGTCGAAACAAGTCTGCTAGTCCATCATCTACTGCATGTACACACCAGGGGAGTACTACTAAAACCAAGAGTACATAACCCCCCAAGAGTGTGCAACTCGACTATGGGTGCTGTCCCGACAGAATTTCAAGTTGACGTCATTTTTTATGATGCAATGCGCACTGCACACGGATTATCAGACGAATCCGGAACCTGTGGTGGACCAAAGCCCATCTGATCCTGTACAAAGGAAAACGTGTGATGCGTTGACACCCGTACACATGTTGTAAATCACTGGTGCAAGGAGCATTGCATCATTAATAATGACGTCAACTTGAAATTCTGTCGGGACAGCAGGGTATGTGGGAGTTGCACACTCTTGGGGGTTATGTACTCTTGCTAAAACTAGTAAAACATTTAGTACTACCTGGCAAGTGCTGTAAACGTTGGCTGAAGAATAAGACACGTGTTGGTCAGCAAGCAAGCGGTTTTGAGGACGAACTAGAACTAATGGTGTGAGAAACAGCAGGGAAGTGATAGAAGATAACAAGTAGGGTGAGGTGTGAAGGAAGTGTGATAAGGAAAGGTGTTACTGTTACAGCTGCCGTACCTGAACTGTTCTGGGTGCACCGCTGGTGCACAACGGCCTCTTTTGTGATCGTTGCATCTGCAAGTTCCCTTTCCTGGAAAATTTGCAACAATTTTGCGAAAACTCCGGAATTTGTGGCAAAGGGCGAAATTTGCGGGATCTGTCGCAGCTGTGAGATCACGAATTTCTGCGGGATGGATTTTCTAGTTTTAATCAGGGAGTCGTATTTTACGACTCCCTGGTTTTAATAATGTCTTCATGCGCATCGTAATGGTACTGCTATTCACAAATCTTGCCAGAACCTCTCATCTCCCTATGCTAACACTAGCAGTTAGCATGTTAATGAAATTGGTGGTACACTGAGAGTCTATATGACCCGGTGCTCGTCTGTCTGCTCATTTCCCCCTTGCCGTTTCTGCTGCTGCTGCTGCTGCAGGAGCCGGCTTGCAGGCCCGATGTCGCCCAGTTCCTCTACCAATGGTATTTCCCATTTTACGCTCGGCTGAATGACCTCTACGGTTCGCCACCAAACAACACACTGATTGAGCGTTTACAGGATTTATCAGCTGAACCATATAAGGGAACATTCAAGGATCCACCAACTGGTAAGTACATGTACTAGGTATTGGCCAGGGAGTCGTCATAATACTACTTTGAAGTATAGTATTTGACGACTCCCTGGTACTGGCAATATGGTACTGTCCAGGCAGACAATTTATAATTCGTTGTTGCCATCTTCAATAGGTCCGTCAAATAGTAGTAATAGGTCTCGTCGGGTCAAATGAAAAAACCTATTGCAGACAATTTAGTTGGTGAATAATTTCGCCCAACTCCAAAGAAAGACAGTCCGTCCGGTGGAAATTTTCGTTCATTGATGTGAAAGTCTAGACACATCGACAGTTATTAGTCCTACATTAAATTTAGTCCCAAAATTCCTTGGACGAAGATGACGAAATTAAATTCCCAACGAAAACTTCCGCTTGTACAGTACCGTAAAGTACCGTTGATCCTCCCCCACGCCGTGTTGCTTCCCAGCTGGTTTTTCAGCAGGGGGTGGGAATCAGATCAAGTCGTTCAAGTGCGGTACGACAAAGCAGAAGATCAGACCTGGCATGCTGGATTGTGCACATTTTCATCCTGAACTGGCACAGACTGTGTACAGCAGTACATGCGTCGGTTCAACATCGTGTATTCGTTGTATACGCCCCTGTCGCTTCACAGGCAGACATTTGACAGGGGGCGGAAATTAGAGTGGGGGCGGATCAACAGTACTTTATAGTAATTGGGAAGGCGGCGATGTCCGTGCTCGGGTCATAACCCGTCTTTCCTCTGTAGCTGATGTGCAGGGGGACTAGCTCACATGGTAGAGCGCTCGCTTAGCATGCGAGAGGTACCGGGATCGATACCCGGGTTCTCCAGGCAATCATTGTTTTCTTTCATTTTTCTGGTTTCTTTCAAAGTTTCCCTTTGTCCGTTGTCAAGGGTACATAACCCCCCCCCCCCCCCCCAGAGTGTGCAACTCCCACATACCCTGCTGTCCCGACAGAATTTCAAGTTGACGTCATTATTTATGACGCAATGCTCCTTGCACCAGTGATTTACAACATGTGTACGGGTGTCAACGCATCACACGTTTTTCTTTGCAATAATTTGTACAGGATCGATCGGCTTCGAGCTTCGGTCAACCACAGGTTCCGGATTCGTCTGATAATCCGTGTACAGTGCGCATTGCATCATCAAAATGACGTCAACTTGAAATTCTGTCGGGACAGCACCCATAGTGGAGTTGCACACTCTGGGGGGTTATGTACTCTTGCCGTTGTCCATTCATTTTATTTCCGTGTTTCATGTTTTTCAGTAGTTGTATTCCCAAGTATAGGTCGCACCTTTTTACACTAAACTTCAAGGGCAAATTTTAAAGAAGGAGGTGTAACTTAGTTACAATCGAGCGTGACTTCTACATAATGTGAAAGAACTAGGGCTGAAACGATCATTCAATAACTCCTAACGATCAACCAATATCATTAACGATCGATGTATTGGTTTTATCAATTCTTGTCGGCTCTACTCGTGTACCTCGGAATAAATTCCATGATACATTTGATAGATTAGAAATTTGTGGCACCGCACTGTTGACGTCTGTGGAAATCTGGCTGGTTTTATCAACATGAACTAGAGAATTTCATGTTGTTTCTAGAGCAAAGAATCTTGTCATCACCCTCTGGCAACTGCTCTTATCTCCAACCTCTCACACAAATGAACCAAAAAGACAAAGTCTTCTCTCCCGATCTCTTTTTTCAAAGCCACAAATCAATTTTACCGCGCTTGGAAGTACATGATTGTACTCGTATTCACTATCGGATGGAGTGCAAGGGCTAGAATACTGTCACTGATATGCATGCATGATAAATCGTTAGCACTCGTTTTGAACACTAACGATTATCGATTGCACTCTTAACGATCGATATGCGAGTTATCGGTATAGTTGTTTCAGCCCTAGAAAGAACCAATATGGCTCAAACCTGAAAACAGGGGTGCGACTTATACTCGAATGCAACTTCTAATCGGGGAAATACGGTATGCGCATGTGTCTGGTGTGCTTCAGAGAATACAGCACAACTTGAGCTGGCCAAGTCCTTACTGAGCCCGTACCAGAAGGATACGGACAGCATGATGGATCATGTGCGAAACACTCGCATCATGCGCCTCGTCAAGACGGGCAGCTCGCCATTCTGCCTGATTAACCCGGAGGATCTGGTCTACGTGTCCATGAGCGGATCGCAGCTCTACAACGTCAGCCTGCCGACCAGTGATGAAGACGTCGGCTGCGTGTTCCGTTGGAACGACCCAGAGGTATGAGTGGCAGTGCCTCTTCACTGCACTTCTTGTTTGATTTTGCAATGAACTTGGCCGGAAGGTATTAAAATGGTAAAATGGTGGTTCATATACCAGGAGAATAGACTGTGTGCAGCCATCTGTGCTTCTAATACACAGTGAGGACTGCTTCAAGTCTAATGGATCCCCGCTCGGTGTCAGCAACTGCGGGTGGGGGGCATGAGGTGGTAGTAAGGGTCTGGAATGCACTACCAATGACTGGCAGAAGAATAGAATTTGAGTAGATTTGACCTCGCATTTGGCACCGTAGTGAGTCACTCGTGCAATCGTTTTTAGTGCACTCGTCTGCCACTCTACCTTATGAAGCGTGTGTGATGATGTCATTGCCATGACCTATTCAGTAGCTGTGGAGAACTGGCGGTTTTGCAGCACTGCTCTACCTGTACATTATAGTGTTGGTGTAAGCATTGATCCATCCTGCATAGATGGTGTGCTCTCTGGGCCCAGATCTTGAAGCTAGAACCTCTCCCAGTACGAACGCGAGAGCTTGTTTTCGTGCCGATACATACTGTATCCTGCAGGTGTCCTTGTCTGACTGTGCTGTCAATGCTGCGGGTGTGTCCTCTGTTATGTTGCCATCTTCCTCTTGTGCTCGTCAATCTGCAGATGATTGTGCGCCAGTATGCCTGCCTGGAACCGGTAAGGAACTGAGCTAGCAGTGCAGTAGTGTAGCAGTTAGATGCCACGCACTCCTTGACTCAATCACCACCCCTGGACTATCCTTTGTAGCGCTTCACGGCACCAAACCTGTTTTTCGCAAACACAGAAAGGACACCTGGCTGCAACAAACAGGGAACACGACACACTGCAACACGCATGCGCACTGCCACAGGCCCGCGGACGTGCACTCAGGAGCCACATCGACACAACCACGTGCATGTAGTATGAACATCTACAATGCATAGTCGGTTATAACAATAAGAGGACGAAAAAAGTGTTTTAACTCTGAGTTTCACGCACTAAGCGATCATCAGAAAACAGCAATGAGTAAATCTGGATCAGTACTGGTTTAGATACCCACAAACTTGCAAAGTGTAAATGACTGCAGTAGCTCTGCCTCTCGGTATTGAGCACTCTCTTGGACAGCCTGGAACCTCTCTGTTTTACATAGTCGGTTATAGACGGGAAGGGTCACTGTTACTTCGTGACGGAGTCAATGGCGGGGAGAGTGAGGAGGGTTTGATAAAGACCGGTTGGGAGAACTCCACTTTCTGCCAGAGTCCAGTGACTTCCCCACCTCCTACGGTAAAGTCACCTTTTTGTTGAAGAAGTCCAGCCATATGTCAACTCCCTACGGTAGAAAATGAGTTGCTTTTCAAAGCACACCTTTCTTGAGCCGGTTCCTATTTCCAGTGCGTCCGATTGCTCACCCTACCACCTAAGATTAGATTCAACTTAAAATTTAATTCCGCTCAATTGCATCAGAACTCCTGTACATGTAGGTACCGTTAATGATTGGTTGCCCCCCCCCCCCCCCTCCCGTGACCTAGGGATACCACAAAATGAGAGAACATGCGCTCACGAGCCCTCGCTTTGCTGGTGTTATCCAGGCCTCTCCGTAACACATGGCTGCTGTCCGGTACATGTATTGGTATTGCAGTCGCTCGCTTGTCATCGTTTGGCCACACGGTGCATGTAATGCATGCCGCTTGTACTACTGCCGCTCTTGTGTCTCTACTGCCGCTCTTGTGTCTCTACTGCTGTTGTTGGTGCTGGCCTTGGGCGTTGTCGCTGTTAGGATGTGTACGAGTTGCGACCGTTTGCACAGCAGTCCGGCGACCGAGCACTCGCTTCGCTGGTCGGATTCGAGGCTCGCAAGTTTGTCACTATGTTGCTGGGCGGTGCCATTGAGTGGGTGCAGGTGAGTGAATTTCAAAACTCTACTCCGTGTGGGTGTTTTGCGTTCAGCACATGAATTGTCGTATTGGCTGGAGTATTTCACTGTAAAGCGTGTTTCTAATGTTTTTTAACCGTTTAGAGGTGAAACAAATGACATCATCGTATTTGCTTTGTGTGCGTGTGTGCGTGCCAGCACTAGTTGCTATGTCTAACATAGCTGTTCGCTATCATTGCTCCTGCGATGGGCAGGTCTGAGGTCTGAGGTGCGTGTGTGTGTATACTGTATACACTGTACAGTGACACAGTAGAGAGCATGTGATGCTACTCAAACCACTCCAAATGTGTTCCTATTCCCTGTGCTCACTGCAGGTGATTTTTGCCAGGGACGCGTTCTACGAGACGTCACATTTCTCGGTGAGTGCTGTGGCAAAACCTGTGCCTGGCTTCTCTCTCTTGTGTGTGTGTGTGTGTGTGTGTGTGTGTGTGTGTGTGTGTGTGTGTGTGTGTGTGTGTGTGTGTGTGTGTGTGTGTGTGTGTGTGTGTGTGTGTGTGTGTGTGTGTGTGTGTGTGTGTGTGTGTGTGTGTGTGTGTGTGTGTGTGTGTGTGTGTGTGTGTGTGTGTGTGTGTGTGTGTGTGTGTGTGTGTGTGTGTGTGTGTGTGTGTGTAAGCGTGATTGCTTGTGTGAAAAGAGAGAGAGAGAGACGCACAATCTGTGTTTCACTCACATCTTAATGTGCTGCAAGAAATACTCTGTTCTGCCTTCCATCTTCATTCCTTTCTTCTTTCAGAAACTGGTCGAAAAACGTCACCTGCTTCTGTCTCACACTTTAGTCGATGCATATATTGGATACCTTAATCGAGCTCTTTACAGTGCCAAGGCGATGGATGCTATCGATCAGGAAGAAAGCCCTGTCAAGTCCTTATATCACGTATGTTCTTGTACTGTATCACGTATGTTCTTGTACTGTATCACGTATGTTCTTGTACTGTTTCACGTATGTTCTTGTACTGTATCACGTATGTTCTTGTACTGTATCATGTATGTTCTTGTACTGTTTCACGTATGTTCTTGTACTGTATCACGTATGTTCTTGTACTGTATCATGTATGTTCTTGTACTGTATCATGTATGTTCTTGTACTGTATCACGTATGTTCTTGTACTGTATCACGTATGTTCTTGTACTGTATCACGTATGTTCTTGTACTGTATCATGTATGTTCTTGTACTGTATCACGTATGTTCTTGTACTGTATCATGTATGTGTGTGTACTGTATCATGTATGTTCTTGTACTGTATCACGTATGTTCTTGTACTGTATCACGTATGTTCTTGTACTGTATCATGTATGTTCTTGTACTGTATCATGTATGTTCTTGTACTGTATCACGTATGTTCTTGTACTGTATCACGTATGTTCTTGTACTGTATCATGTATGTTCTTGTACTGTATCACGTATGTTCTTGTACTGTATCATGTATGTGTGTGTACTGTATCATATTATATTTCTATCCTCGAATCACGTATGTTCTTGCGACAACCACTTGGTTGTTGCTTTTTGCCAGCATGCGTATGCTGAGATGCTGCTGCCGCTGCCACTGTTGCCAATCGTGATTGTATTGGTGCGGCAAACACAGCACTTCACAGGCATTGTGTGATGGAGTTCTTGACGACAACTCGTGAAGTACAGCAACTCAATTTGATTCTGGGCCTTCTTCTATTCCATTGTGTTCACGGTAGATGTATCACAAGTTGATACAGCTGGAGCAGTTGGTGCGTGGTGAAGCACCGACTCCGGTGGTAACTGGTGAAGCTCGCGACTTGATCATGAAAATTCGTACTTCGGATCGATCGGTAAGTTGCTGCTCAGCCAAGTACAAGTAGGCAGTGTTATTTCAATGTGCGCACGTGTGTGTGTGTGTGTGATGGTGGTGGTGGGAGGGGGTGGGGGAGTATCTATTTACCGTAGTGTCTTGTATTAAAGCCGGTCTCGTTTAGTGACCTGTTTCGAATACAAGCCTGATTTTCAAGATACACGGGTGGCACATACGCCTGGTTTTAGTATTGAAGCACACAGGATTATTATGTGGTTCAAATACAAGCCTGGCGTGAATAGAAGCCTAGCACTGACACCGGCTTCTACAGGAATAAGCCCGGCTTTAATTAAGGTTAAGCAATACACGACATTACGGTATGTGTGTGTGTGGGGGGGGGGGGGGGGGGGAGCAGTGTCTATTGATGTGTGTGTGTGTGTGTGGGGGGGGGGGGGGCAGTATCTATTGATGTGTGTGTGTGTGTGTGGTGGGGGGGGGGGGGGGGGGGCAGTATCTATTTATCTATGTTCCAGACTAAAATTGGGTTACCCGTATACAGTCTACTGTTACAGTCTGTAAAGTGAGAAACTTTCGCTAGAGATTAAATCTCGCTATTTTCGTGACCATCACACATTCACGTATATAAATCGCCGCAAACTGCTTTGTGCATTGATTGTAGACAGTACAAGATCCAACTGAAGAGATCAAATCGCAAAAGTTTCTCATCGTGGATCAGCGCAATTCTTGAAAACGCAAAAGTTGCGCACCACGAAAGTTTATCGCTTTACACCAGGGAGTAGTACAATACCGGTATTGTACTACTCCCTGCTTTACACTATACAGTAACTTCTTCAGGATGAATACCAAGGGACCGAAGGTATTTGTTTGCAATAACGAGAGTTCTTCGGATCCATATTAATTTTTATACTCAGTGAATAACCAGTGATTTATCCAATCGAGTTACGAATACTAGTTCTTCTAAAGCCAAAGTTTATCAAGTATCAGTGTTCTGCTCAACGAGATTTCACTGTAATGTTTGTGCCATTGTTCCACTGTAATGTGTGTGCCATTGTCAGGAGATCTCGCAAAGTAGTGTTCTGATGTGCCTTCCTGTCCTTTACGCCTCTACCTAGGTGGAGTTTGATTATCTAGTGCAAGTAGCCGAGAAACGCTATAACGAGGCAGTGCGCAAGCATCGTTACGAGCCCTGCCACTTCCCACGGCAATCCGACAAGACGTTTTTCGTGCAGTGGCTATCTGAGCTCTATGATTTGGACATCAAGGACCTACCGCGAATGGCCAAAGAGGTCCGCCGGTCCTGATCTACACCATATTCTGTATGGCGGATGCATGAGTTTGTATTTCGCTCGGTGGTATCATTGCGCTGTTGTCTTTCTTTCTCTCTCTCTCTTTCACTCTCCCTTTCTCTCGCCCTCTCACTCACTCACTCACTCTCTCTCTCTCTCTTCATTCTCTCTCTCTCTCTCTCTCTTCTTCTTCTTCTTCTTCTTCTTCTTTGATTCCACTGCTGGATCAGTGGTGCTAACGTTAGAGATATGTCCTGTCATTGTACCATTATTCATTTCATGATCCACGCTTGAGCCTGGTGCACTTGATCACTGTAGACTGGACTCTGTAGAACTAATTTCTTCTACCCGTTGACGCCACGTGTTCCGTGCTGCCGCTGTGCACAAATGCGATTTGTCTGTACCGGGACTGGTCGCATAGGCCAGGATCGCCCTCACACCCCAGGTTTGGCTATTCACTATGTCACGTGTTCAGATCGAGCCCTGTGATGTCGGGCACGGCTACAGGCTACACCAGGAAAACAAGATCAAAGCTCCTTGAACAGGTGGTGGTCTGGTCAAGGCATTGCTCTTGTTTTTTTGCTCATGATGGTGGCCAGATAAGAATGATGCATACAGTCGCACGTACCGTGTCACACACACGCATACATGTACGCAAACGTGGACATTTTTCACGTGCAGGGACTGGAGATGTGGACTGGAGATGTGGACTGGAGATGTGGACTGGAGATGTGGGGTATTGCAGTTGCCAAAAATACAGAAAATAGTACTACAGTCAACTTCGCTTATAACGACACTCGGCGGGGCATCAAAAAAGTGTCCTTATTCGTGAAGTGTCGTTATACCCGAAGTCTCATTTATAATGTATTACAGTTGGAAGGTACTTTGCTCTGGGCATGGAAATTCTGTCATTATTCGCGAATTGTCGTTATATCCGCAGTCGTTATTAGCGAAGTTGACTGTACTCTCTTCATACCGGTTCATTGTGCATCTAATCTGATCCGAATTGAAATCGAGTACAAGTGATGTCATTGCACTCACAAATGACATCGTCCGACTCAATCTCCCATGTCACCACAATGACATCATTCCTATAATTAAGAGTCCGGGATTATGGACTTTTGCTATAATGCTTTGCATTAAGTGGCAAACCAGTCGCCACTTTTAAAAGGTGCCGCTCAGTACAAAATGCGTCAAATAATGGTATAACCAAATAGCCGCTAATAGTCGCCGCTACCATTATTATGTACATGTGGGTGGCTGGCTTTGATGCAGAGTCTTGGTACACAGTTTCCAAAATGAAAATACTTTCGCCAGTCTCTGCATGCAAGCACTAAAGTCGTACTCGTCAAGTACACGTCTTGCTATTTGAGGTGGTTCTGATCAACTGTGCTCAACGTATGGACATGAGGGGGGGGGGGGGGGGGGGACACTCAACTACTAGTATGTACAGATGTTAGTGGGGCATGAAATGATATACTTGATGCCGATCTAGAATGATGTGAGAGGCATGATCTCCTGTCTTGTGGACTTGTAATAGATATGTGCAGGGTGAGGCGACTAAAGTGTCAAGTTGTCCTGTTGAGCAGAATTTGTACCGGCGTTACTTGAACTGCCATGGCCATCATCATCATCATCATTGTGTGTTAGGCCATGTAATCAAGGGGCGTGTTCAAGGAAATACGGTACTGGTGCTGGTCTTGGAGATGGTCCTCAAAAACTGCCGTCGGCATGTAATTACCGCTCAGCGTGGGTGTGCTGCTTGCTGTGTTAGCGTATTGTACGCTGACAGTAGTCATCTCAGCCGTTACCAGGTAGAGCCGGTGTTCACGAGGCATCGTCGTCATCGTCTTCACGCTGTGTGATGTAACCGACAGACACGTGCACACACACATACATACATACATACATACACACACACACACACACGTGCGCGCGCGCGCGCGCGCACACACACACAGACATCGTGTTTATTGTACATGGTTCAGTGAGCAACACTTACATTACAAGCAACAGTAGCAGACTGTGTCCTACTTCAATTCTGAACACTTTGTGCAAAACCGCATGCGACCAAAGGCAACAACAGTACTTGACATTATTTTCTGGACAGATTTACTCCAAAATTGATGTGATGTGGCTGTTGGAAAAGGAAGTACTGTAAAACACGATATTTTCGGTGTAACTTTAATTTCGGTGATTTCGGTAGAGAAAACAAGCACCTAAATTTAGATTACACCTAAAAGGCACCAGCGTATGCACTGTGTGTGAAGGGAACGCTGGTCACCTAATTCTAAATTACACCTGAAACCTGGCAGGTCCCTGACACCGAAATTTTAATTTTAATACACCTAAAATTACATGTTTTACAGTATTCACACGGGGGACTCGAACTTTCGGACTTCACACCAGTACACTGTACTCACAAGGAAGTCTGCGACGTCTGTTTTCTTGATGAAGTTGTGGTGTGACGAGTCAGCTGGACAGTGCAAAGGGATGCACGCGTAACAACAGCACACAAGCAAGTAGGACAACATTCGCCTGACGATTTCATTATCACGATGATGTCATCACCACGGGGAGAGTCCCTTTAGCATGCAACGGTAACGGTATGTCCCTTGCGAATAAATAGAATGTGTGTCCTGTACAGAGAGTTGCGGCTTTGCGGATGGTGTGTCCCTTCCAGGCTCAGCCAATGCTCGGTGACACCCCATGCTCAGCACTCACCATTTCCAAGTGACGCTGACTTCTTGCGGAGAGATGCAGCGGTTTCGGCCGCCTCATTCGCATGCGTCTTTGGTAGGCTGTGGGCTCGCGACACCGTCGGCGAGCTTGGAGGCTTTGCAGCGAAAGCAAACGGTTTTCGGAGGACGAGTGGCGACCCAGAGGGCGATGCGACCGGAGAAGCCTTCGGACTGTGCGTAGGTGAATCAAACATGCCCTGGCGAGTGAGTCTGGGGTATGGCACTGCTGGAATAGGCCGTCCGTTCTTGTCGAATATCAACTTTGTCGGTGTGTTTGGGTCGGAGTTGCTGCGCGATAGGTCCAGATTGAAGTTGGCGGTTTGTGTTCTGGATGTAGTGGCGGATTTCGGTCGCTGTCCCATGGCCGGGGCAGCTTTCTTTGGCGTGATCATCAGCTGACTGGCAACTTGATCCAAACCATCGGTTAGGTCGCCACTGTCAGTGGATCTCTCCGTCACACCGGAGCTATGTCCAGCAGCGCCGGCAGCACTTGAGCCATCGGTCTGGTCCATGAATTCATTCGACTGGTCGGTACGCGGTGGCAGCGCTGGGCCGGCAGTGCTGGCGTAGCTCGCCGAACTGACCGACCTCGGTAGCGTTGCCGCCTTGACCGGCGTGGAGCCCATGAGCGGAGGCCCCAGTCCGTTAGATGACGGCGGTGGCGGCACGATGTCGTCATCAGGCTCGCTCTCGTCTGAGCTCTGGTCGGCCGGGGTGCTTGCAGGTGTCTCGTTGACCACAGCCATTGCGTTTTCAGCAGCCTTCTCGGCCTCGGGTGCTGGCAGTCGAGCCGGCCCGCTGCCGTCCCACTGTTTCTTCTGTCCACGGGCTTTTTGCGGCACGGCATAGATGTCCGAATCAGGGTTGTCGCTCTTCTTCCTCGATGGTGCTGCCGGCACGCCTAGGTCAGGGACTGTCAATGTTGTTGTTGTTGTTGTTGTTGTTGTTGTTGTTGTTGTTTGCTGTACATAGAAAAGGTGCACAGATACATGTACAAGAGAACTATTGTGAATCTGTTGGAGTCAAGCTTTGTCTTTATCTCATTCACAGAAGAATCGCAGGTGATGACATGTAGGATGCATTACCACAATAAATTTTGTCGCTTCATGTCATGAAGCGACAAACAAACTTCTGACATCTCCCCCCCCCCCCCCCCCCCCAGTAGCAATGTTGCATTCTTAGACATTGCACAGCGTAATCGTGCGATATCAAGTATTCAATTGTGGACGTCGACACGCACCTCAACAACGCCAGGCAAGACGTGGCGTTTGCCCTCCATCGCCAGCTTGGTCAGCTCATTGGTAGCTAGGGCATCGGCCTCCATCCTGGACGGGCGCTTTGCCGGGTCGATCAGCTTGC